TCGCCGGCAATAACGAGAACATTGTTAAATTATCGGAAATCTCGCGTCATTATGGGCTCTCGCCGCGGTACGCCGGGAATCTCGCCGCTTGAATCGGCTTGCAAGCAAGAAAAGGGGGATTAGCCGGACAAAACGGGAGAGAACAGCCAACGGTGGATGCGGGTGTCGCTGCGAGATAATAAAAACACGACACGATCGCTGCCACGGGAAAAATTAATGAATCCAGCCTCAAAGGGTTAATTCTGATGCATCACGACGCCACTACCGATGGCTATTCGATATTTTCTCTCGTTCGCGAGATCTACGAACAATCTTGTCTTTGTGTACGTACAATTTTATCTTCTCTGATAGCGTGGGACTCTTATTTTTGTACTTCAGACACCATAATTGTACTTACAATTTATTGCAGAATTATCTCATTTTTGTAAGGACTTTTAATGAAATTTTTTGATGTTTCACATGGTTGAGGTTTTTACTAAAAATTTGAATAAATTAATAGCTAAAATTCTGTTTAATTATTCAAAAGAAAAAGTAGCAGAATTTTGCGAAAATATGGTATTCTATCAAGAATTGTTTGTGTTCTTTAACACTTAATAAATAATTCTGTAGAACAAGTTATGACTTCAATATGTATCAACATTTCCTATAATATTTAGAATTAATTAAGAAATTACAAAAATTTGTCTTATATTCGCTTAGCAAAATTTTCGAAAAAAAATTTTACTCGAACTCTGCCTTAAATGAATTGTTATCCAAAATTGTTATCCATATCGAATGACTATGTCTGCATCAAAAGTAAATTTATAAAATTTGAATAAATCTTACAGAACGTAAGAGTTTATATAATTTATATGATACATAATGACTCGATTAATTAGTACAAACTGATGAATATCGAGACAGTTAAATATTACAGTATCCATGTTTGGTATTTCCTGAGCTGTGATTGCGCGGTTAGTTAATTGTATTATATTACAAGGTCGTTAAAATTAATTTTTGAAAATCGTATCTTACACCGCATTTCTTGACAATAACCATTTATCTCTCCTCTAGAGCAGTTAATTACGCTATAATATCGCGTTATAAGATAGCAAAGCTACCCGTTGCTTGCTGGTTCTATTGCTTTTATCCGTCTCTTTGATCAAAGGACTAACGTATCCACATTTTTATACGGTATAATTATACCATTTGGAAGAAGATACGGCTTTTTCCCAACGTTATCTCGCGCAGAAACATGTTTTGGTAGAAATAAACTGACAAATGAATTATCTATTATATTCAATGGAAAAAATTGTAATCACTGAGGAAACGGTGCGAACCTTCTCTTCGATAATATTATATGTATTCATATTACTTTCAACTGTTTTGAGGGATGGTTAATTAGGATTTACTTTTATTCCATAAATTCTAGAAGTACGGATGAGACGTAGAAAGTTTGTACTCTTCTGTTGATTCAAAATTTGAAAATTTGTCAAGGGTAACGCGGTGACTCTTTGGTCTGCGCCGCCATTTTGTTTAAAGCCGTTCAGAGCTCTTCTTGCCGGCGAAATTTTTAGTTCAGCTTTCTTGAAGTCTTGAGATTCGAAAAATCGTGAATGGGGGAAACTTAAGATAACAATTTCTTAATTTATATCTACTCAAATTTGTTAACTTAAAATTTACAATATTGTTCAAAGTAATTCTACGTAACCTTAAAGTGTATATGTACGTATCTTACGATAAGTCATAATTTATAAATAAATTATTAAATTTATTATTATTTTTTATTATTATTAATTTTATTATTATTAAATTGGAACATAAATGTTCCATAAGTTGCCGTTCGAATCACATATTCCATCAATCCAACTGCCAACTTACCAAACACGCACAAAAAATATTATCACAAAAATCAACCAAGTACATCAAAAACAAGGTTACAATTTTTAATGAAAGTACATAAAAAACAAAGTCGCAAATCTTTATAAATTTGATGGATGAAATCGGATTAAATTGAAAGCGACGGAACGCGAAAGAGTCCAGAAATCCGGCGATATCGACGAAAGGAAAACACGATATCTGATAAGAGAGATTCCATCACGTTGACCCTTGTCACCGTGAAAGCTCCACTGGAATAACCCGTTTCCGTTCCGCGTGTCAGCGTACTCGCTCGCATGCACGCGGGTTCACGGCGATGTTCGAGGGTGAAAAAGTCACGCGAGTACCGTAACAATGAGTCGTCATGGGAAAAGGTGGCCTTAACACGCCGTCCAATGGACACTAATCGCAAATACCCGCGGGCGTAATCCTGATGAGGCTGTTGTTTGATTCATCGCCGAGCTGGGACGTTACTCACTTCGACCGAACGGTCCAACCTTTGTCCTTTGTCCCATTTAATTTTACATAATTTATAACAAGAAGTATCCTCTTCATCGATTGAAAAAAAAACAAGTTCTTTTAGCTGCATCTAATATGAACAATATTTGGCTACATCTAATCTGAACAGAATTTAGCTGCATCCAATATGAACAGAATTTAACTGCACCTAATTATGAGCAATATTTAGCTGCATCTAATCTGAATAGAATTTAGCTGCACCTAATATGAGCAATATTTAGCTACATCTAATCTGAACAGAATTTAGCTGCATTCAATATGAACAATATTTAGCTACATCTGAGCTGAACAGAATTTAGCTGCATCCAATATGAACAATATTTAGTTATATCTGATCTGAACAGAATTTAGCTGCACCTAATATGAACAATATTTAGCTGCATCTAATCTGAACAGAATTTAGCTGCATCCAATATGAGCAATATTTAGCTGCATCTAATCTGAATAGAATTTAGCTGCACTTAATATGAACAATATTTAGCTGCATCTAATCTGAAAGAATTTAGCTGCACTTAATATGAACAATATTTAGTTATATCTGATGTGAACAGCATTTAGTTACACTTGATGTGAACAATATTCAGCTACATCTGATCTGAACAATATTTAGCTACATTTGATCTGAACAATATTTAGCTACATTTGATCTGAACAATATTTAGCTACATCTGATCTGAACAATATTTAGCTACACTTGATGTGAACAATATTTAGCCACATTTGATGTGAACAAAATTCAGCTACACCTGATCATATATTTTTCTGAGGAGAATCAGATTAGCTGCATAAAATTGTTTAACACAATTAGCGGTGAATAATTGAAATTGAACGAGGCGAACAATTCGAGCGTAAATTCGAGCGTCACCCAAATATGGGTGACACGGCGATCGCGATAATTTGTAATTTATAACACGAGCGAGGCAAACACGAACCTGGAATATATTGCAAGGTATTTCCCAAAAAAAAAAAGAAGAGAATGAAAGTATCATTGAAAGCGTGAATGTTGAATATCATCATCGCCAGGGTGCCTACATTAAAAGCAACATCCATCAAGCGGTAATCCAGCATCCTGACAAATCTGCTGGTATTCAAAATATCTCATAAATCAGTGAAAGATGTTCTCACAGCTGAAGAATAAAGGCGTAACAGCCTCGGCTGACGTTCATCCCTGGACATCAAATTCGATAATAAACGGAAAGCATTCTTCGTACGATGTATTAAATTCTCGAATCATCGCGCGTCCTTGTGTCTCCGAGAAATTCCATGAATCAATAAGAGATATTTCCAACGGAAGAAATAATTGAAAAGTGCGCGTAACAAGCGGCTATCGTGTTCAAAAGATTTTACAAATTAATTGAAAGTATTCTTGAACCGCGGTGAAATACGACAAAGAGAACGAGAAAATCACTCGAGGTCGCTGCGAAAATATCCTTTCGGCAAACACGAAACTGCTGCTTACCGCCATTTTACGATATCTACGAAATGGCCGGTGTCGGATTCCGCCGAATCGATGTAATATACTCGCGATAACCGTGCGATACTGCAATTTACAATTTTATAAATTCGTAATCGGACATCGGGTTTTATAAATTACCATTTCATTTTTACCAGATTGCTACTTTTAGAAAATTTTACATTGCTAACATTGATGTTCAACAATTACCAGATAGGAAGGTTGCAACTTGTAGATGCGGCAAACGGGTTATTGATCCATCCTTCGGAGATATTCATTATTCAGGAATATTATTAATAATATATTTTTCTAATATTACGATGAACTCTTCCAGAGCGAAGGCAATTTTTAGTCCACACAAAGGTCAAGAAAGAATCTGAACATTAATATCTCGACTTAAAAAAATGAGAATCACGTTTAGGACAAATTGCAGGATTAATTATCCCCAGCACGCGAGCTAAAGGTTCGTGAACACTGCAGATCGAACTGCGTTCTCGCGACTGCACTTCTCACGATCTGCGTCGCGAACGCTCGTGCTGTCCTAAGCGAAAGATTCGATTTTTCCCGCGTCGAGTTATCCCGTGTTGGAGCAAGAAGAGTGCGGTTCGTGGTAACGGAAAGAGCCGGGACCTTCTGCTCGCTCTGACGACTCAATCGCGGTTCCAAGCCAACGAAGAAAATGATGAAGTCCCTCGATAAAATTCATGAGGCCGAAGAAGTAGCAGCACGCGAGCGATTAGCATAAAGGAGTCTCATTAGCAGCGGCGCTCGCCGAAATGTCAGCCTCGTCTCGCCGTCCACCCGGAACCGTGTCTACGTCCCTCGACCTTCCAACGGAAAAGGGCCCGATCGTGGTCATCCTGCGACTAATCGACCCCGAGCATCGTACTAGCCCTGTCTTTCTACTTGCGATGCATGGAATAGCGCTACTTTACACTGCAAATCGTGGTTGAAGAATTCTTGTTCAATTTTTTGGAAGGTTAAGTACGTAATTAATATTGTATTTTAATACTCTAGGCTTTTATTTGGGTCTGTTAGGTTTGTATAGCTGTCATAGTTTGTCATGGCAAAGACTATTCTTTTGGAAGGACATCAAAATTCATTTGGATATACATTTCATATGTTGTAGAACACGTATGAATAAATTAGACCTACATGCAACGAAGACCACATGATAAAGACTCTTCTTTTGGAAGTACGTCAAAATTCATTTGGATATACATTTCATATGTTATAGGACATGCATGAACAAATTAGACCTACATGTAACGAGGACCACATGATAAAGACTCTTCTTTTGGAAGTACGTCAAAATTCATTTGGATATACATTTCATATGTTGTAGGACATGTATGAACAAATTAGACCTACATGTAACGAGGACCAGGTAATAAAGACTTCTTTTGGAAGTACGTCAAAATTCATTTGGATATACATTTCATATGTTGTAGGACATGTATGAACAAATTAGACCCACATGTAATGAGGACCACATGATAAAGACTCTTCTTTTGGAAGTACGTCAAAATTCATTTGGATATACATTTCATATGTTGTAGGACACGTATGAATAAATTAGACCTACATGTAATGAGGACCATATGACATAATGTGTGGTAACATGTTAATATAGTCGTGATATTTTGACTATCACACTGAAGGTTCAGTTAAGATATGCGAGAATAATAGAAACATTAAAAATTTGCATTCTTATCATACAAATTGTATGTCTTATTAAATTGCACCAAATGTGTGAATACGATTTATGTTCGTCATGTAAGTTTAATGTATGTCGAGCGTCATAAGATGAGAAGTTAACCACGTAACCTATAATTTATTTCGAAGTTGCGTCTGTCAGAGCTAACTAGTTACTACTGTAACGTTAAGATAAATGAAAAATGAATTTTTGCTTGTACATATGGTAATGGGTATTGGACTAAAAATTTCATCCTTGTGCATACGATTTGAGTTTGTCACATAACTGTACTGTGTGTCATAAGACGAGAAGTTAACCCCATAACCTATAATTTTCACCAAAGTTGCGTCTGTCATACCTAATTATTACTGTAACATTAAGATAAATGAAATAAATTGAAATTATATTTTGCATTCTTTAATTTTTGGTATAGATTGTACTCAGTAATTTAATCCTTAGTTAAGGTTTGCCACATATTAAGGTTCTCCATCCTTAGTTAAGGTCACCTAACTGTAACGTGTAGGCTAAAAATGAAGATTCTAAAAACGTCGAAACGAAAGAAACTAATAAAAGAAAAGAAAGATAGATCATCTCCGTCTCAATTCTCGCGATAGCACGGCCATCAATATCCCCGTTCGGGCATAAATCCCGCAGCCCGTATCCCCTTAAAAACCACCCGGACAAAGAATCCGCCAGGCGCATTCCGTGGTCGTCGTCGAAGGGGGAAAGAATCCTTATCAGATCGCATTCAGCGTCGATGACAAACGTCCAGCTGGAAAACACGAACGGACTCTCCTCGCTAGAGTCCCGCGTTGTTCCAGCGTGTAGGATAGTCGGTGGTCTCGCCGACGAACAGCCTCGTTCGGCCTCATCCTTGCAAGGACGTTCGTGTCCCTGTTCTCTCGGCTCTGCTCGACCGTAATTGCCGCCGTTTAATCGCGCATAATCGTCGCCAATCGACCGCGAACGCGGTTGCGGCATCCACCGGATTATTATTATGACAGCGCGGATAAGCTCCGGCCGTATATTTGTTACGGGCTGATTGCGTTTACAGTCGGTTGCTAAATGGTACGTGCAACTACTTGCACAAAATTGCGCGACCAATGCCTGTTCGGAACCTTTCTTCTTTCATCCACTTGTGACTAGGACTCAATTTCTTGAGGATATGTTTGCTGACATTGCAAAGCAGTTATAAGAGCAACATCAAAGCAGTTTGAAGTCATCTTTGAAGTTTATAACTTTAAAAAGGACGTGACAGTCACGCCATGAGGACTTGGCAGTAAACGGAGATTTTGCTTGCACAAGATATGTAGATTAATTTTATAATGAACGCGTGTTAGTGAATTTTTTTCGTACTCTTTGGTTGCTCGATGGGTGAGATGCTTGAGACTCAATCTTTTAGGCTAATATCCTTAAGAAGGACCACAAAGGTAGGACAGTAAATAGTGAACGTTATAATTGCACAGAATACAGCAATTATTTATATAATACATCAATTATAATGAACGTGTATGATGAATTTCATTCATGCTCTCTAATCACTTGACCTGAGTAAATGATCAGAGAAGATGATCAGAATACAATCATTTATGGTTTCGTTCTCTTAAAAAGCTGTGTAGTCACACAACCCTAAAGCTAGGACCAAAAACAATAATTATGTACATCACATTAAACACATATTTTTAAATTGAAAATAAAGTGCAAATATAAATAAGTAAATACTGAAGCAACTAATGTACTCTTTATCTCAGCAGAATATGACAGACATTTTTAAAAGCGAAGTAATAAAATTTTATGTGGGAGCTGAAAGCAGTTAAAATGACTGGTTTTAACGTTAAAAGAAGCTGTGACAGAAAAAGGAGTTGTATTAACTTGTTCTAATACTGGATCCATTTAATCAACTACTTACTTATCATTTAAAAGATTACGTTTAGTTGTATTCTGATGGACTGAAAGTGGAAATTTCTTTAAAAATTACTTCAGGAAGAGAATAACTTGAAGAGGTTAAATATTCCGGCTGTTAATTTAAGCGGAAAAACATCTTAAAATAGCATGAAATTATACTGAATCCTAATTTAACTTAATTAGAAGTTAAACTCTGCAAAACACATATTTCAGAATGTCAAACAGTCACCGTTCATTCAACGCTGAACCAAAAACATCCTCCAAATTCTAAATCGCTTATTAAATGGAAATGTTGAGAAAGCTGTTAATAAAGTTCCAGTAGTGGCCATCGAATCTCATTAAATCTATTTCCGTAACGGTTAAAAAATACGGAATCGAAATATGTGTAAACAGAATGGAGGTCAGCGTTAAGGAAATGGCGGGCCAAGTAAACATGGCGATTTTCGTCGATTCCGCAATCGTTTCCACGCGTTGATTTCGATGGTTCCTCGGCGTCCTTGAACGTTCCAGGAAGTTGCCTCGGGTGATTCCTCAAAAATGTCCCTAGGAGAAAACACCTGTGGGCGCAGAACTTTTCATTAAATTCAATGACGCCAACGAATCGATGGCACATGCGCTCGTTAATCACTCGATCGGTAACGAGGCGTATTGGCTGGAAAAGGGAAAATGCGAGGAATTCCGGAAAAGTGCAGATTTCTCGAGCAAACAGCTGCGTTGGTTTCATTGAATTTCATTTCACTCGACGTCTCAATTCAGGTTTCATCTTATTTGGTCAGCTCGGAGACGTCTTAATTGGGGCCACCGTTATTGGGTCTCTATCGATTGTATCCTTGGCGAGATATCTAGTTCAGAAATTATTACTCTGAGGGTCGCTGCTGACCGCCGCTACTTACATTCAATAATTCGAAATCAAAATAGAAAAATAGATAAAACATAACTATACGTGTTATCTCGATAAAAATTGACAGAATCCACCTTCTCAAATTTCCACCTTCTCAAATTTCCAACTTCTCAAATTTCCACCTTCTCAAATTTCGAACTTCTCAAATTTCTACCTTCTCAAATTTCCAACTTCTCAAGTTTCCACCTTCTCAAATTTCCACCTTCTCAAATTTCCACCTTCTCAAATTTCCATCTTCTCAAATTTCCACCTTCTCAAATTTCCACCTTCTCAAATTTCCATCTTCTCAAATTCCCACATTCTCAAATTTCCATCTTCACAAATTCCCAACTTCTCAAGTTTCCACCTTCTCAAATTTCCACCTTCTCAAATTTCTAACTTCTCAAATTTTCACCTTCTCAAATTTCCACCTTCTCAGATTTCCACCTTCTCAAATTTTTACCTTCTCAGATTTCCACCTTCTCAAATTTCCACCCTCTCAAATTTCCAT